TCCTTTTAGATCCGACTTGGGTGACTGCTCCAAATATTTGGGTATTTATTAAAAGAGGCCGGTTGAGATTTGAAATAATTACGATGGATTAAGTATTCGAAATTGTAAAGGAATTCTAATAAAAAGATTTGACTGGATTGGGATCAAATATAAACGTATAAAATTTTATGTATCCAAATAATAGATTTGGTTTGCATCTAAATCCTGATCTTAATATGTAAATTCCATATAAAATGACTTATTGGGCAACAAGAATCCATGGAATCTGAAATTATGCAAAAAATTTGATATAGAATTTCAAAACGAGTAATATTTAAATAAAAAGATGTTAATCCACGAATAATAAAATGAAATATTCATGCATAAACCAAATATAATTTAATAAAATACAAATTGGGCTGAATCCAAATCCTAGATAGTAATAACAACAAAAAAGAATCCCAAGTTCGGGAGCACCTTCCTGACCTCTTTAATTAACTGCTAGTTTTCCCAATAAAAAGGAATGAGGAAATATTTTAAATAGATTTTCAAAGCAGAGCGAGTCATTGCTAGAGCCAACAATGAAATCAAAGAACAATGGGGTTGAAAAGTGATTTTGGAACTTTAAGGGTTTACATGTCACTGGATCCAGCAAAATAAAATGACTATAAGGTGAACTGGAATTAGAGGAGAATTTAAGGGTTGTGATGGTTACAGTGGTGTAAAAATTTAATTAGAGTCTTTGACCATTAAAATGAAACTTTTTCTGATCAATTTCGTTAAGAAAATGATTATACAGTAGGAAAGAGAGAGAGAGAGAGAGAGGAAAACAATGACCCAAAATCTCGCATATAACGCTAGACAATTTTTTGCCAACTATATAACAATAACCTTTCAGCATAATTGACCTGTGGAATTTGTTTCCAAATTTGGCCAATTATATTTGTCTGAAATGTACGTAGAGAAAAAAAAATATTTCTGTCAAATTTTAAATAATATATTTCACAATCAGTTTCAATACAAACCTTTGTGCCATTAAATTTTTCACCTAAATTAGACCCTCGATCTCTTGCTGCCAAACGCTCAGCCTCTGTTTAATTAAAAGAGGTGATCGAGAGTTACGATAGGAATGAAGAAATCATTATTCTCTTTAAATCGATATTGTTCAGAAATCAAACCAAATCAAATTAAGCTTCATTCGATTTTTTAGGCTTTTTTATAATTAAATTATGCTTGTAATATTGTTAATTTATTTATTTGGTTAGTGCGATTTGGAGAATAAAAAAAATCCTATTTGACTAGGTCGAATCAAAGAGGATTTTTTTTTTGACAAAAAAGAGAAACAAAACATATAAAAATATCCAAGTCCAGCAAGGAAAAGTACTAAAAGTCATAATGAGGAAAAGAAGCCCTGTCTCTTACCCTAAAAAAGGTCACCAATTTACAAAGTCCTCATTCTGTTGTTTTCTATAGTTACGATGTTTTACCAGATCAGGTAATAATACCTCAAAGGTTAAAACAATAGTAAGAACTGGGGGGGGGGGGAATACTAAACAACAGAAATTTCGAAGACTGATTTCCAAAGTATGTATTAATTATCATTCCACTCATAACTTTGCAAGAAGGATTTAACAACTAAAAGTAAATTACGAGATAAACTACTATGTATGAATTTCCACCAAAAGTAGTCTTCTACTAAAGTAAACTTGCAACTCGAAATTGAGATCAAAATTCTTCAATGTTAATAGTGCCGATTGACTAATACAAGACTTTCCACGTAATTGAAAATCTTGATATCTCTTTTACGATAAGAGACGGACATTCTTTTTCTTATTCGATCAAAGTTGGAAGAGTGAGATCTAATATCAGGCCTCTTAAACTCATCAGTAGTGAGATTGAGCATATATAAAATTGCCATTTGATAATTATTCTCATTCTGATAAGAAGGCACTAAGACAATCTCATTCCTCCAAATACTCACTGGATTTAAGTAATCCCATGGACAAGGGCTGCTAATATATATTTTAGTCCATTCCCATCTTTTTCGGTCCAAGTCCTCGGATGGACATGTCTCCTCCCCCTGCACCCACAAGTGAATCAAATTGAATCCATCCTCTCCTTCCATGCGAGCAACCAGAGCATGTTTGTTCTGGGGCGTACCTCTCTGATCTGATGTCTCCAGTGGAATAGAGGCATTGGTATCAATTCAAACACTTCCTTTGATAGGTCCATTCAATGTGGATAATTCTTAACATAGCCCATCATATCATCCCAAAACATAACTCCATCAATAGTGACATATCTAGCACACTATAGTTCTGGGCCGTACCTCTCTGATCTGATGTCTCTAGTGGAAGTGATCTTCGATGAAAGACGGAGTCTTGATGAGATTTCTTATCAGATTTTTCTAATATTTGCAAACACATTGAAACCGATCTAAGGATCTTACCGGAAGCCTTTTGAAAATGTTATAGAGGGCTGATGAGGTTTTTGTAGAATCACTTCTTTTCTGTTTAATTTATTTGGTTCCATTTTTGAGAATCAAATCAGGTTAAAAAAATGATTTTTAGAATAAAAAATCTTACCAGACTAAATCCAATCAGAGGATTCTATTTTCTTAAAAAACATTATATAAGATATCTAAATCTAGTAATAAAAGTCATAACTTTTTTGTCCAACAAAACCATAACTATTTCTCTGCGATTCTCATCCTGAATTGATTTTGATTAAATATTGATTAATTTTAATGCAATTTTCTTATTTATTCAATTTTAATTAATTGAGGTAACAGAAATGAGGATGTTGAGATGGTGATTTGGAGGTGAAGATGGGAGATCAAATCATTCATCAAATATCAAAGTCAGTAATTAATTTGTGTGAGCTCTCTATTTTGTTCCTTGCACCATTTAGAAGAAGGTGTCTTTTAAAAATTTGAGTCTTCCATGTGCTTGTGTTTTGTAAAAGTTCAATTGTTTCATTGATAGGATATTAGCTTTTGCTCCTCAGGGAACAATGTTCAAAATGTTTGAAGATGTGTGTTTCCCTGCAAATAAGAAGTAAACGCTGGCAGATGCCCATTCAAATAAACTGTTGGTAAGTTTGGAATCACTGACTATAAAAACAGTCATAATATTTAAGTATATGTATATATCTCTTGACTTTGGCTTTCCAACTCAGAGCTTTGGTGACCCCTGTTTTCTGAACTTTTTTTGTATCGCTCTATGCTTTGGTTTTGCCGTTTCTTTGTCTTCTCTTTAAATTCTTTTTGCGCAAGCACTTGCAATTCTTCCTCTTAAGTTCTTATGTTCTTCGAATCGATGAGATTCTGTTTGGTTTGTGGGAAGAAATTACAGGTATTAGAGCAGCTAATCAGTTAACTATTCTTCATTTATGACATCTTGCAATCCTGCCTTTATTTCCTTCGTTTATTTTTTTGATTATTGATGATGTGGTTCTTTAGTAAGATTTATCTTCAATTTATTGCTTATTTGAAGGGGGAAGCAGCAATTCCAAAATGGAAGATGATAAAGCGAAGACTTTTGTCCGTAGGTTTACTGGTATAGATGTTGTCTTTCCTATAGGTTGTAATTCTTATAGGTTGTAATTGTAAATTGTAATATGGGTTTATAAATTTTGCTGGTATAAGTTCTCTCAACAAGCTGCAACTTGTAGGAAGGAGCCAAAACAAATGAAGTCATCCTTTGTTTATCTTTCATTAGTTACCATAATTTTTGAATGTAATGTTACATATAAGCTTATTTAAAAGACTGTCGATACAGAAGCAATTCAAAAAACAGGGGCGCATGCGTGTGCTCATGTATATGAATGACTGCACATATATATGAAGCACCTTCAATAAATCAATGGAACAGCATGAAAATGCCTACACAAATAACAAAATTTCAAAAATTTCCGACCCCATCCCGAGGTTAAGGGGCGCACGCGTGTGCTCATAATGTATGAATGACTGAACAAAACTTCAATGCAAACTGTGACATCTTAATGAAATTTAACAGATAAAGCTAACATCAAAAGGTAATGCAAGAGGGGAAAAGCCTGAACTCGATGAAAGCAAAAAAGAAAATGCATTCATCGGTCCAAAATAGAAGAAAGCAAAAAGATAGAATGCAGGGTAAACAATTAGAAGAACAAAATCCATAACTAGACAACTCCCATCAGTAATGGATATTTCATATAACATCATTAAGCAAGAAAACTCGAAACTTGCAGACAAAGAGGTTTTAATTTAAAGCGCAGAGAGAGAGAGAGAGAGATTACGTACTTTTCTGGCCTCTCAATCTCATGCAATATAGTAAATCAGTGGTATATTTTTCACCCAACAACAAAAACAGACTATTGGCACATTGAAGGACAAGTAGTCCCAAATAACAGGCACAATTGCTTCTTAATATCTGCATTCATTATTCTAGATAACTCTAAATAACATCAAATAATATGGGTATAGAATCATCTAAATTATGAGAGATTCCATTCCACCAAGAGTACCCCAACAATGTAAGTTTGCAATGTAGTAACTTGGATTTAGGATCAAGATTCTTCAATGTAGTTGTTGCCAACTGATACAAGGCTTTCTACATAATTGTATATATTTTTAATAGAGCCACAACAGGGAACAACAAACCTCTTGACTTCATTAGTAGTGAGATTCATCAAATGAACAGTTCTTCCTTTCTTACTAGGCACTGCAGAACCCCCCCGTGTGTAGACAATTTGGTTCCTCCAAATAGTCACCGGATCGAATGTCTTTGAAAAGGGGCTAGTATATATTTTAGTCCAATTCCGTCTCTCCCCAAATGCACATGTACCCTCCTCCATCACCCACAGCCTAATCAAATCAAATCTTTCATTATCCCTACGCCAAACGTCACAAAGTATGGCAAGTTTGTTCCCATAAATAGTAAGCTTTTCATCTCCACTCGTACAGTTTAAGTTTAAATCAGGCCATGGACTCAATGTGAACACTTCCTTTACTATGTCAAATGATACTATCACCTGAGCTATCACCTCAACACCATCTTCACTGCATCTAACTTTACCCCAGACCAAAATATGGCTCCATTAGTCGTGACAGCTTCAGAATTAAGTCTCACTGCCTTTAAGTTCCCACTATCTATTCGCTTCCATGACCCTCTACTTAACGAAAATACTTCCGCTCGATCAACTTCATAGTAAAACTTCGAATAAGTTCTTACTATCTTATAATCATTAACAATTGGACTGAACCCAAATCCTGTCATGCAATCCTCCAAGTCAGAAAAAATTCTCGGTCTAGGAACATGTCTGACTGCTGTAGTGGCAGGATTCCACAATGAAAGAGAAGGAGGAGATTTATCATCCTGATGGATTTGAACACAAACCAGGCCATTGCAGGAACCGATGATACTAGCACCCCCGAAGGAATCGACCAAAGGTGCTTTCTGAACTAGACGGACTTGCATCCCCCAATCCAGCAAACGCAAGCGCCAGCGCAAAGGACTGCAACTATTATTACAATCGAGAAGAAGAGAAGGGTTTTGATGACTGGACTGTTGAAGGTGGTCCGCAATGAAAGATGGACTTTTTATGAGATTATTCCAGTGTTTACACACACATTGAAATCGGATTAAGGATTCTACCGGAAGTCGTTTGAGAATGTTTAGGATGATTTCTTCAGGAAGATATGGCGGGTGGCTGTCCATTTCCATCTGCTTCAGGAATATCGGCTCAAACGCAATTCTCAGAAGAAAGCACTCGCAGTCAACGAAACCCTTTAGGGATTTCAAATTACCATAGTCGAAGGGAGAGACACTTGGGTCGCTAGCTCATCGTCGGTCCTTTCATTTTTCTGAACCAAACCCAAACTTTTGTTTACGGCCCAAGAACCCAAACTTTGAGTAGATATTTTTATTTTTGCCTGCATATTATATATTGAGTTCGAAAAAATTTTTTTTCTCAAATAATTAAGTCTAAAAAAAATTCAAGCTTTGGTTCAACTTATGCTATGTTTGGGAGAAGGGTTTTGGGGGGGGGGGATTTACTGTTACTTATCATCAAAATATTTATGGCAAGATTTTAGGGCAAGTAAATTATTTCTTTCTGGAATTATTAAACTTGTCAAATTTCAAAAATATAAATTTCAAGTAAACAATACTTCTAATATTTATTGAATTTAAAGTGACCAGCATTTTGAAACAAAGGTAAAATTCCAGCCACCGTCATTTTGAAATGGAAGAATATTTACTACATAAAACATATATTTGGAACTTTAAGTTCCAATGGACAAAATATAAATATGTTTTCTTTTTTTTTTAAAAAAAAAGTTAAGAACAATGGCAGCAAAACCACTTGACTTCAACCAATGTAAAAGGAAAATACATTAGTTAGGAAAAAGAGAAGAAGAAGAAAGAAATGTAAAATGCAATGCAGAATGAAAAAATTAGGGCCTGTTTGGTTTCTTATTTTGAAAACAGTTTTTTGTTTTAAAAACAGAAAAACAAAAAAACCTGTTTGGCAATTTGTTTTAGTTGATTGTTTTAAAAAAAACAATAATATGTTTTTAAAAACTGAAAAATCAAAATAACTTTTAGATTTTTTTTTTTCCTTTTGTATTTTGTATTTTTTTGTTTTAAAAAATTCTTTTCTTCTCTACTACCGACTCCTTATTACTACCGGTGATCATTACCACTTGTCAAAGTGTAATTTTTTTATTTTTTTTCAAATGTGATTTTTAAAAAAATTATTTTCCAAACAATTTTTTTTGTTTTTTGTTTCCAAAACTTGTTCTTAAAAACAATTTTATAAAATTGTTTTGAAAGTAAGAAAACAAGAACAAAAACAAACAGGCCCTAAACAACTTAACTCAGTCCGTTGTTTTAAAATAGACCTCATCATTTTTTTCAATAACCATTCTTGTAAGTTACAATCCTATGATCAAATTTCCACCTTTTAGTTCAGGGTTAAACTTATTCCGAATCTACATACTTTTAATAAATTTTGGTTTTGATCTTATACTTTTGTTGGAGTTAATTTTCATCCATTATACCATCCAAAATGTTAGTGCTATTATTTTATGAAAACATTGGTTCTGAGTTTAACAACCCTTCACTTATGTGGTACTAATATTGTGAAATAGGCTGGCATGAACTATTGGACTATTAGCTACGCGGATATGGCTTCGTGAAAAGGTCCAATTCCTTATACTTTCAACAGGTATTTTGGTTCCTATGCTTCTTTTTTTCCATTACTTTTTATCCCTATATTATTTTATGCTGTCCGAATTGTTAGTTATTATAATTTTCTAAAAAATTTAGGCCCGAGCTTAATGGTGCTAACTTAGCATTAATACCTTGTAGCCTAACAAAATTGATTTTACTGAGCCAAATGGATTTTATTAAGGCATGTAATTTATTATCACATTAATTTTTCGTGAAACACGATTTTGAAACGGCAACTTTCCGCTGACCTTGGTTAATGTTAGAATTGTTTTGGATAAATTTGTTTAAAAAAATTAATCATGTTAAACGAGGATAAATTTGGAGCTTCAAATTAAAAATTACAAAATTATTTGTTAAAGGTTTAATGTATCATTAATAATTGATAGTTATCGTTATAGGGGCCATGTGCTAAGTCATAAATTGATATATATATATATATACACACACACACACACATATATATATATATCAAATTATCGTTATAGGTGCCATGTACTAAGTCATACATTAATATATATATATATATATATATATATATATATAACATAACATAAAGCTAACAATGTTCACCTCTTCGTTTTTTTTTTTTTTTACCAGCACAATGTTCACGTCCAATGGAAGGTTCCGCATCTAGTAATGTAGAGGTTTTAAAATATTGAAAGGTAACGCAAGAGGAGGGAACTTGAACTCAACCAAAGCAAAAGGGAAAATGCATTCATTAGTCCAAAACAGAAGAAAGGAAAAATATAGAATGCGAGGTAAACAAATAGAATAACCAGATATCAATGGAGGTTGGGTTTAGCAGAAGGGGTCAATCCCTCACCACATAACGAACTAAGATTTGAATCTCACCAGGAGAGGTGCTCATATTTAGTGATAACTAACATTAAATAGTATAGGTACGGAATGATCTAAAATATTTGCCAATTGATATGCGGCTCTCCACATAATTGCAAATACTATGAATAGGGCAACAATAGGGAATAACAAACCTTCTTACTTCATTAGTAGCGAGATTTATCATGTATAAACCATTTCTTCCTCCATTTTCACTATCCTCTTATCAGGTTTGTAGAGTACAATTTCATTTCTCTATATAGTCATTGAATATATCGTGCTAAGAAAAGAATGGCTTCTCCGGCATAGAAAGGGGCTGCCTGCATATCTTGCAGTCCAGCTCCATGTCTCCCTAGAAGAACATTTACCCTCATCTAACACCCACAAATCAATCAGATTAGATGTTCCGTCATCGCCTTTCCCAATGTCACAAAGCATGGCAAGTTTGTTCTCATAAGCAGTAAGCTTCATAGGTGTACCATAGTCTAAATGGGGCTTTGGTATCAAAGTAAACACTTCCTTTGCTATGTCAAATGAAACTATCACCCTAACATCATATTCACCCTCCTTAACCTCAATATTGTCTTCACTCGCCTCATATAGACGTAGATCTAACCCAATCCAGAGTATGGATCCATTAGCTGTGACAGTTTCAGAATTAAGTAGCACTCCCTTTAAGTTTCCAACATCTATTGCCTTCCATAACTCTCTACTTATAGAAAACACTTCCACTCGATTAACACAACAATCAGCAACATAAGTTCTTACTATCTTGTAATCATTAACTATTGGGCCGAAACCAAATCCTGTCACCCAATCATCAAAGTTAAAAAAACAATCTGCAGTTATGGATATAGGCAAATCTCTGAAGGTTGTAGTCGCAGGATTCCACAAAGAAAGCGAAGGAGGAGATTTTTTATACTGACTGGTTTCAACACAAAGCAGGCCATTACAGGAATCGACTATCCTTGTACTCGCCAAGGAATTGATGAAAGGTACTTTATCAATTTCACGGACATGCAAACGCAATCCAGCAAACGCAACGGCCAGCACGAAGGATTATCACTTCTATTCCATTGGAAAAGAAGAAGAGAAGGGTTTTGATGACTGGATTGTTGAAGGTGTTCCGCGATGAAAGATGGGTTTTTTACAAGATTTTTCCAATCTTTGCCGGAAGTCGTTTGAGGATGCCTCTAATGATTTCTGGGGGAAGATTTTTTTTTTTGGCCTGTATTTCTGGGGGAAGATAAGGCGCGTCATTATCCATTCCCATCTGGCTCGGGCGGATTCCACAAAAGAAAAGCACTGTGATCACTGACGCCTGTAGAGTAAATTTTCCGTTCCTGAACCAAGCCTAAAACTTTGCTTTTGGGCCCGCCAACCAAAACCAAAAGTGAACATGTTTTGGTTTGACGGAACCTAAAGTGAATACTAATTCAAAATAAAAAAACAACCATTTTAATAATTAATTCCAAATGAGAATTCAGGCTTTAGTTTAACTTAGGAAATATTTATCACAAAATTTTTTAATTTTCCGTTATTCTCGAGTTATTAAACTTGTTAAATTTCAAAAATAAATTTTAAATAAATAATTATAACATTTATTGAATTTATTAAAGTGACCAGCAATCATCATCAATCAATCATCAACTTTATACTTGAAATCTTGTGATACCCCATTGAGATGCAAGCGGGTCGGGTCTTGCATTCAAGGTATTTTATTCACCTGCTGATTTTCTTGTTTTGTTCGATAGTCACCTAGTTACTATATCTTTGAAATCTTGTATTAGCCGATTGATACAGGATCGGGTTTAGAGATAGTGGAGAGAACCGTCTGTATGGACAGATTATTGAGGAGACAAGACATTGATTATGAAGATTGGGATATTGAAATTGCTCGCATGCTATTAGGAAAGTTTTGAAGTTTGCTGATTGTTTGGCACGAAATGCACATTCAGATATTACGTAGATGAAATTCATGTTGCAAGTACTACCATGTTAAAATAATTCTACCATATAATATTTTTATATTTCATACCCCACGTGCAACCCACGGGAGAAGTTTAGTTTGAAACTAAACCAAAGTTCCTGTAAATTGCAAGGAATTGGGTGAGGTTAAAATGTATCTTTGTTATAAATAAATGGGAAAATTGCATTAGCGTCCTAATAAACATAAAATACTATATATACACACATATTAGCACTGCTACTTAATATAAGAGTTAGATAACTAATTTGAAAAGATTAAGAAAATTAGTTAAGTTAATTATTTGTAACAAATATGTGTTGATTTTCTTAAACTACTTTATCTAATTATGTATATTTTAGCTACACTTGGATGGAAATACCTTATAATAAATAGGGATATTTTTGAGAACACATTATAAATTTAAAAGAAAAAATAAATTGGGATATTATATTTAGAACCACTAAAAAGCATTTATATTTAGAACCAGAGGTAGTATTCATTGAATTTATTAAAGTATTTTTGCTACATTTATAAATGCGCACACACATACTTTGTTTCTGACCTTTTTTTTATGTATAACGTCAACTTTATTTGAGCAAGATAAAAAGATCATATAATATTCTATAAATCAAATCAAATAGTATAAAAGACTAAAAATAAAGTAGGACAAAAGGGGACA